CCTCTAGTAATATATTTACTGAGAAAAATGGTGACGTGTTCAATACTTATTTTACCTGCCGTTGAATCAGCAGTAATCAATATTCTTCATTTATCCCTGACACTTCTCTGAGCACAAAAAAGATTACATGAAAAACAAAATGGACCCATTTTGATACCAAAATGTTACAAAATATTTTTAATTTTATTTTTTTAACACAACCTTTTAGGATCAGGATTTAATGTAAAAACACAGCCGTACCTTGGCTTTCTCCAGCTGCACCTGGGCGTTTCGTTCCTCGACGACATCTGAGTCCTTATGCTCTCCCTACAAGAGACACAGAATATGATGCCATGATGTCACACAGAATTAGATTTCTTCCTGTCATTGTTGAAGTAACCGACAAACCCTGGGCAATATTATAGTGGTGGTCCTCATAAATGAAGAGATCCATGTTAAAAGACTTTATTTTTTTCTTAAGACCCAAAGCTTCTACTGACTGATCTCTTTATTGTTGAGCTTTTGACTAAATGTTCACTTTTACATTGACTATTCCTTTTTCCAGAAACCTTGTGCCTTTAATTGTCAGAAATCTTTTAGCAGAACCCTCCCGGGATGCTCAGGTTTGTGCACCATGTGTCCCAGTGATTAGATTGTCCCCTCAAAGACATGCTAATTAATGCCCTTTGTGTCATAGCCAGAAGACGACACAACCGTCTGGCGTTCAAGATACACACTTCAACCACAAAGTCACAAATCAGCTCATTAGTTTCAGACAATTAGCTCAGTACGGCACATTTTATCAGTTTTGTATTTCTCAGGTTTTGTTCTATTTTATTGAATGATATCAAATAAATATTCCTTCAAAGTATGATCTTTATTTAAGACTTTTATGCAGACACCCAGAGTTCAATGATAATGTCTTGATTCTTAAAGTTACGTACTGCACAGTTTATGAATGTTTATATTTCACATTTGCTATAAATGCACATCTGCATGTACAGTTATTTAAGAAAAAAGGTTTGAATCAATGGGCCTTGTGCAAGAACCGTTCATACAAATAAAGTAAGAGAAGCTGAAGATAAGAATACAAGCATGTTGTTGCATGCGGCCCATTTTTTTTACAAAAGTATACAGTGACATTCCAAGTCACTGACTAAAAAAAGGAGGTTAGTGAGGCAGAGCTGACTGCTCTGATCTGTGCTCGAGCCTGAAAGACACAAAGAAGCTGATCGCCCTGCATGCATCTGCAACCTGTTTACGGTTGATGCTTTCAGTCTTTTTTCCTGCCACATCTGCTCCTGTCAACAAAGGCCTTGTGAAGAATGAGGAACTCCACAATGTAGGTTCAATTTATATTTTTAAGAAAACAAATTGAAAGACAATCAAAAGGAGCCTRAATAAGTAAATGGGGAAAAATGCAATGACTAGCTATCCTCCTTCAAATTGTGTTGCTGGAAGAATTGTGATGTCATACAAGTAAAATTAGAAAACACAAAAGCTTGTAAGTCTGCAGACTCATTTAGAGCAGCACAGACTGCAGGAACACACAAGATGTGACATTTGTTTAAAGAATGGCCCTCATTAAATACTCATGCAGATTCACATAATATGATTCATTTATACTTAGTTTCTTGAATGGTGCCTCTTCATGCAGCCTTAGTTTTTCTTCTGTATGAAACAAACCACTTTGGATCCTGTATTTTATCAAAAACTGCTTCTATAATTTAAACTTAACAAAACAAAAAGGAAATCTCTAAGTCTTCCTGAGTCAACCTTATTTCAATTTGAAAACTCAAATAAATTTTTTACAATAAAAGTAGGTAAATATATTATACGTTACAATAAAAACAAAAAGAAAGAAGAAAAAGAAAGAGTTAGAATAGCCCATGTGGCTGCACTGTTTGCTCTCGTAATTAATAAAATCAATGTGGCACAATCAGCTTAACTAAAATAAAACTTCAAAATATTTGAAAAATAACTAATGAAGCTTCTAATTATCTGACAAAAAAAATAAAGTTTAAATAAGCAGAGACAGTATATAAAAAACTGAAATGGATAAAAAAGGCAGAAACTATACATTAAAACAGACCATTTAATATTGGAAAACAATAAAAGAGGAGGAGAAAGAAAACCTCGCTCAGGCATAATTTTGCCCATGCATGAGTTTTTTGTTTACACATTACTGGTGTAGACATCTGTTCGCACAGCACCCGCTTCTCCTACAAGCAGCGTCACCCAGCCAGCAGCCCAAAACCCCTCCACTGAATTATTAAACACTGTTCAGGAACTGCAGATGAGTCATATCCCACTCTGCTGTGGCAGGTGATCAGTCATTTAAAGCTATGGTAAATAATTAGTCAAATTAATGTAATTATTACTCATCAACAACAGKGAGTGCCTGGAAAAACATGCTGACATATGGTTTGGGTGGGACTTGACTCTAGTATATAGCTGTGAGACTGTAGCAGGTCATGTTACCATAAAATCAGCTTTTTCTGACTATATCTGATTACATTCTAGAATTCTAAAAATTGACTAGTAACAACTAAAATTTCACTATCCTGAAAGGTGATTTAACACAGCTGCATTTACATCCTGATTGGTCAGAAGAACAATCCAAGATACCTAAAATAATTTTGACTTGTCAAATCTAACTTAGAGATATCTCAAAATGTATTTTTGACTAGTCTTTCTATCTTGAACCGGAGCTTCCATTCAACTTAAYAGTAAATCTGACATCATTTAGTCAGAATGTAATTAGAGATATCTCAAATATGTATTTTGACTAGTCAAAATGTAATTAAATATATCTTAAATATATGTCCAGTCATAAACCATTTTCAGATATCTTGAATGTGGTTGTGGTRAAACTGATTAATGTAAAAAGACCTCCCACAGTGGGTCACATGTAACCTTTTCCTGAGTCTCCAGAGCCAGGGAAATGAACCAGATCTGAGTTATGTGTGGTAAATTCTATGTCTGTAAAATAAATATCCAAGTCTAAGAACTGAGTCRATCTGCAAATTGTTTGGTCTCATTTTTGAACATGATCTTTCAATTCAAAACAAAGGAGTGCTCAGAAAAATTGCATAGAATTGTGATGCAATGTCAAGTCAAAGTCGGAACTTTACTTAATTTGAATGTGAAAATTTCGAATGCTTGTGTTGTGTTTGTTTGTTCATTTTCATCCAATATTTAAATAATTTTATTTATATTTAGTGAAGTTTGCATGTTGTCCTTGTGCATGTGTGAGTTTCTTCCCATCCTGTTCTTRTACTTCCTGCTGGAGAACCACCGGTCCATTACCATGATTACAAAGACTGAAGGATGTGCAAAGGAAGGTGGAGGACAAGGCTTATGTGAACAAGTAGGTTCTGTCATGTGCTCCCTGAAGGTGACTTTTCTCCCTGTTCAAAAGTGTTTACACGGCTATTTCCACACACGCCAGGGAAGGCATTAAGGAACAAGCTTCTGATTGGGAAGATGGAATTCTTCCCTAACTTGAAAAAAAATTGAGCCATAGAGACACCAGAAGCCAGCTGGATGGCCTGAAGCACTGAAGCTCCCCAGAGGACAAACTGAAATGTGGAGTGATGCAAAGATACAACATTTTTCAATATTAGAGGAAAAAGTAGGTTTAAAAACAGTTCTGCAACAAAATTCCTGCTATGAGTCCGTGTTAATAGGGCACATTTGGGATTTCTGGCTTTAGGAACTGTTTGTTTTTTTCAACTTCACGAACCATTTTTTACATAAATTTTAGTTGTTAAAAGATTTTGGTTTTGTGCAATTTTGTTTTTAGGATTTTGTTTCTGAACAAAGTTGACTCGCATTTTATTACACTTTTACTAAGCCTAACCTATACTAACCCAGCCCTAACCCAACTACACTACAACCCAATTACTACCATAGTTAGACTAGTTAGTCTCCCTATCTGGTGGACCAACATTATATTAATAAATCCAAACATACCTCTAAACCAGAAAGCCTAACCAATTGTRTTTTCTAAACACAATTACTTTGATAAGTAAAAAAAAATGATGTGCCCACATTGTGACTGTTAATCGAAGGTTCAAAGCTCAAAGAGCTTTTGGTGCCTTGTACAAAATTTTTCTCTTCCTCAGATGTAAGAGAAGCAATTTCCCCTCCTTGCTCCTTCCAAAAAGAAGGAGGCATTTCCATAGCAACCAGTAAGAAAAAAATTTGCAGTCTAAGCATTAATGACTCCCACTGATGAAAAAAAAGACTGTTATAGCTTGTGAGCCATGATCCTCATGGAGCTGCACAAAAAAAGATAACACGCCTCTGATGTGGCAGCTCAGCAACAATTCGCGCCACAGAACATGTGACCACTTCGTATGATCCTACATTTTGGGATTTCATAACAACATCAACCTGTGCCCCACAGAGTGCTCCTGAGTCACCGCTGTTATCTGTGTCTCATTTAGAAGAGCAAAGAAAGACAACTGGGGTTAGAAGTTTCCACATCGCTACACAGCAGCTCCGTTAAGAGCAGATGTGTGAGTCGGTCCAGTGGCAGAGCAAACACTTTTGACTGTGGTGCCTTTTTGTATGGGCCTGCCAAAACTTGGAACCGTGCAGGGTTTTATGGATGATTGTCTAAAACGATGCAAAAAAAAATAATAACTTGGACGTGAAGGATGCCTAAAATACATAATTGTTCAGATAAACACTGCGATGGTCTGTGCTTTTCATTATTTTGTTTTAAGTTTTCTTTTTTCTTATGGTGTTTAATTTCTAAACAAAGCAATAAAAGTAAAAAAAAATGTTTTTGGTAGATTGTTTCTTTGTTGTAACAAATGCTTCTTGGCAATGAATCTTAATTTTCTAATTTACCTTTTATGTAAATAAGCTCATTCACATTTGTAAATGTATATCAGCAAGCAAAACAAGAAGTAGGTTATTTTGCATGGGAGAAGAAAGTTTAAATTCGGTCACATTTCTGTCTTGCTCGTCTCATCGGTCAAATGTTTGCAAAAAATCAATAGTGGGTAAGTCCATAATGTGGAAGCGGAAACAGAAATTTCAACTCAAGTCCCTTCAAGGATAAACAAAGTAGCCAACATCCACGCTACAGATTTCTGAATGAGCCAAAACAGCAAATAGTTTTATCTCAATCTGCATGTTTATGGAAGCAAAAATCATCTCTTGCAAGCAATTCAATCAGTTTCATAAGAGCAAAGAAGAGAACTCTGACACTGTTCACATTTATTTCTTTTTTTGCATTTGTGGAACAGGTCACTTGTGACTAATGTAATCAGTGATCACCTGGCACAGAGCCTGCTGACATTCAGTGCCAAAAT